GAAGGTGATGACATTATGTTATCTGGTTTGAGGTTTACTAGGCGTGTAATTTACCAAACTAAAGGTGATGGCATTATGTTATCTGGTTTGAGGTTCTACTAGGCATGTAGTTTACCAAACTGAAGGTGATGCCATTATGTTATCTGGTTTGAGGTTTACTAGGCGTGTAATTTACCAAACTAAAGGTGATGGCATTATGTTATCTGGTTTGAGGTTCTACTAGGCATGTAGTGTACCAAACTGAAGGTGATGACATTATGTTATCTGGTTTGAGGTTTACTAGGCGTGTAATTTACCAAACTAAAGGTGATGGCATTATGTTATCTGGTTTGAGGTTCTACTAGGCATGTAGTTTACCAAACTGAAGGTGATGACATTATGTTATCTGGTTTGATGTTTACTAGGCGTGTAATTTACCAAACTAAAGGTGATGGCATTATGTTATCTGGTTTGAGGTTCTACTAGGCATGTAGTGTACCAAACTGAAGGTGATGACATTATGTTATCTGGTTTGAGGTTTACTAGGCGTGTAATTTACCAAACTGAAGGTGATGGCATTATGTTATCTGGTTTGAGGTTCTACTAGGCATGTAGTTTACCAAACTGAAGGTGATGACATTATGTTATCTGGTTTGAGGTTTACTAGGCGTGTAATTTACCAAACTAAAGGTGATGGCATTATGTTATCTGGTTTGAGGTTCTACTAGGCATGTAGTGTACCAAACTGAAGGTGATGGCATTATGTTATCTGGTTTGAGGTTCTACTAGGCATGTAGTTTACCAAACTGAAGGTGATGACATTATGTTATCTGGTTTGAGGTTTACTAGGCGTGTAATTTACCAAACTAAAGGTGATGGCATTATGTTATCTGGTTTGAGGTTCTACTAGGCATGTAGTTTACCAAACTAAAGGTGATGGCATTATGTTATCTGGTTTAAGGTTCTTCTGGGCATGTAGTTTACCAAACTAAAGGTGGTGGCATTATGTTATCTGGTTTGAGGTTCTACTAGGCATGTAGTGTACCAAACTGAAGGTGATGACATTATGTTATCTGGTTTGAGGTTTACTAGGCGTGTAATTTACCAAACTAAAGGTGATGGCATTATGTTATCTGGTTTGAGGTTCTACTAGGCATGTAGTTTACCAAACTGAAGGTGATGACATTATGTTATCTGGTTTGAGGTTTACTAGGCGTGTAATTTACCAAACTAAAGGTGATGGCATTATGTTATCTGGTTTGAGGTTCTACTAGGCATGTAGTTTACCAAACTGAAGGTGATGACATTATGTTATCTGGTTTGAGGTTTACTAGGCGTGTAATTTACCAAACTAAAGGTGATGGCATTATGTTATCTGGTTTGAGGTTCTACTAGGCATGTAGTTTACCAAACTGAAGGTGATGACATTATGTTATCTGGTTTGAGGATTACTAGGCGTGTAGTTTACCAAACTAAAGGTGATGGCATTATGTTATCTGGTTTGAGGTTCTACTAGGCATGTAGTTTACCAAACTAAAGGTGATGGCATTATGTTATCTGGTTTGAGGATTACTAGGCGTGTAGTTTACCAAACTAAAGGTGATGGCATTATGTTATCTGGTTTGAGGTTCTACTAGGCATGTAGTTTACCAAACTAAAGGTGATGGCATTATGTTATCTGGTTTGAGGTTTACTAGGCGTGTAGTTTACCAAACTAAAGGTGATGGCATTATGTTATCTGGTTTGAGGTTCTACTAGGCATGTAGTTTACCAAACTAAAGGTGATGGCATTATGTTATCTGGTTTGAGGTTCTACTAGGCGTGTAAATTACCAAACTAAAGGTGATGGCATTATGTTATCTGGTTTGAGGTTCTACTAGGCGTGTAGTTTACCAAACTAAAGGTGATGACATTATGTTATCTGGTTTGAGGTTCTACTAGGCATGTAGTTTACCAAACTAAAGGTGATGGCATTATGTTATCTGGTTTGAGGTTCTACTAGGCATGTAGTTTACCAAACTGAAGGTGGTGGCATTATGTTATCTGGTTTGAGGTTCTACTAGGCATGTAGTTTACCAAACTGAAGGTGGTGGCATTATGTTATCTGGTTTGAGGTTCTACTAGGCATGTAGTTTACCAAACTGAAGGTGGTGGCATTATGTTATCTGGTTTGAGGTTCTACTAGGCATGTCGTTTACCAACCTGAAGGTGATGGCATTATGTTATCTGGTTTGAGGTTCTACTAGGCATGTAGTTTACCAACCTGAAGGTGATGGCATTATGTTATCTGGTTTGAGGTTCTACTAGGCATGTAGTTTACCAACCTGAAGGTGGTGGCATCACACTGGAAACTCGTAGTGGTATGTAATGATTATATATATTTCAGAAATGGTGGTGAAGGATCTGCTTCTGTTTCTGTTTATTTGTATTTCCAGGACAAGAGCACGACTTACTGAACAGCTGTGTTTAAACAAAAAGATGATTCTTACTGATGGGAAATTAACTATGAACGAACATATTCTCAACGAGAAAAGTTTTAATGGCAGCAAGCACATTATCTCCTGACTAGTATCAATTTCGCCTCCTCATTTCTTAACGAAGTAATGCAGAAACAATAGTAACAAAAGTTCAGAAAAATCGTGAAAATATTATCAATGTACAGCAATCGTTTCTAAGAGTTGGCCAGTATGTGATTAAAATTTTACAGCAATTCATTAGTCCAGACATTTGATATCTGGACTATTTCATTGGTGAGGATATCGTCAATATCAACGGGATGTGATTGTTTTTTCCTCGGCGTTTCTTGGAGGTACTTGTCTGATTTGGGTAGGGTTTGTGGACGCTCAGTATCGATATATCGCCATATCACATGTTATTTAAGGTCTTCCAGCCTTTTGGCATAACTCGATGACTATCTTTAAGCTGTCATGCTCTGGTATAACAAAAATGTTGTTTAAAAGAGGTTAACCCAACAAGTTCATTCACTCATTGAGTTATGTTCTCGGCGTGAGCAATGTGTGCTAAAGATCTCGCTCAATTACTCATCATTAGGTGTGAAAAATCCTGGTAAATGCTTAATGGTGATTACACCAATCTAATTAAAATCAGATCTTTGTTCTCGCTGCCGCTAAACAAAGATCTGAGGACATCCCATTACGGGTCATGTCAGAACGACCTTTCGCGAACTTTGACCGACCACTGAAACGACCAACAATAAGTCGACATCAGCCAATTAGAAAGCAGCTTTACGGCACTCGTTTCAACCTGTCGACTTCCATTTCAGACTACGCTTGAAAAAGATGTTGACACAGTTCTCGATTAACATTTTGAAAATGGAACAAACGAACATTCCGGAATGTCTAATATATGGTTGCGATTGTATGGCAGTGCTTCCCACGTACTGTGCAACGCCTCCTCCATTCAAATGTTTATCTCACGGATATAGACGATAATTTTGACGGAATCAGTCGTACGGGCCGTAACTGTCGTTCGGAATACCCAGTGTTAACGTTTTCGAGGTTACATGATTAGAAAACACTTTCCGACTGTCACTTTCATGATCTGATAAGCGACGCTTTCATTGGTCGGATGAAAGGACGTTCTGACGTGACCCGTAATGGGATGTCCTCAGATCTTTGCAATTGTTTAGCGAAAGCGAGAACTAAGACCTAATTTTAATGAGATTGTGATTTGTTGACAATTAATCATCATCAGCTATGACCACGTGGCAATGTACTCTGGCAACTTTAAACACCACAATCTCCCCTCAGATCCGAGCAAATTCCGACCACTGGAAGATTTGGTTGGTTGGTTTGTTGTTTAACGCAGCACTCAGCAATATTCCAGCTATATGACGGCGGTCTGTAAATAATCGAGTCTGGACCAGACAATCCAGTGATTGACATCATGAGCATCGATCCACGCAATTAGGATCGATGACATGCATCAACCAAGTCAGCGAGCCTGACCATCCGATCCCGTCAGTCGCCTTTTACGGCAATTATTGGTTCCTGAAGATCTATTCTACCCCGGATCTTCACGGGTCACCACTGGAAGATGTACAGACTAACAAAAGTCCCTGAGGCAATAATTGTTAGATTAAATCATAATTTCTAGACTATATAAATTCTAAGAACAAGTGTCCCTCTGAGAGACTGACGTCCATAGACCATCCGCTGATCTACACATGCCAATTATAAGGATAGAATTACTAGACACCCACGGAGCAAGGCTATAGTATACAGTTTAATTGGATTTTTTAATTGAACTCAAAACATATGTGTATAAAACATATGACGACTAAGTAAGATACTCGTTAGTGACACAGAGGTCCGCGTACAAAACAGATCGTCCAAAGCTATTATATCGTGTATGGTATCTTAAAGGGCAAGTTCACACGAAAATAAACCTATTTTCCTTGTACTTTTTCATGATAAAAAAGTATTTACCCAGTAGTTTCGGAGGCAAAACAATAAAAATATCACATGTATCTAATTTATTTTATTCATAAAATCGGTTCATATTTTTCACATTTACAGAGAGTTCTATTTCCATAATAAACACACCATGGCTTATGCCCCTTGCAATATGACGTCATTGGTGCCAATTGATAAAGGAATGACGTCATCAGACTTTATTTCACGTGGTGTATGTAGAGGTGTGTGGTTCAATCTTCTCAGATGCGCAGCCTATTGTTTTGTCCGGCGCCGAGCTGTCCAAGATACAACGCTAAGCACAATTACTCTAAAATTATTTCGTTTTCGCGACCGAGAAGACAACAATGCATGGATAACATACTGTAAGATTCGCGATTATGGTTGGAAGGGTCCGTTGTATGAATTGCGCTTATTCGTTCATTTGTGTTGCGCATATTGGCTCTTGCTGAGTTGCTGTCGTCTTCCGTGAGAGTTTAGATACCTGCTGGTTCTGAAACCACAGGACCATATGTAACTATTAATAACAATAAAAAAAACACTCGCCAAAAAATTAAAGACGAGGTCGAAGGCCGTTTTTGTTACTATTATTAGTTACATGGTCCTGTGCTGAAACTGATCGGAAGCGGATGGTGTACGATCCTTATATGGAAACGGGCTAAAGGGACAGGCACTCTCATCAAGACCCTGACTGGGATGTTTTTGTAAACAAACGCCGTAAAGTTGAAGTAACTCGATCAAGTAAGTTTGCTGTTTTAGTTTATTCTAACCACAGTAGTATTTAAGAAATGTATTTTAGCAGGGGTATGGTGATATTTGTACATAGTTTCACTTGATAATCATGAATATCCACGATGTTGTCTCGTTCACATGTTCACTTCCTGCATGGTTATGTCGATACTCCAGATCCACAGGCCCCTGAAGCAGGATAGTGATATAACTGAAACGGTGGACCCATATATATAAATAGACCCCTGAAGCAGTATAGTGATATAACTGAAACAGTGGACCCATATATATAAATAGACAAGGAAGCAGGATAGTGATATAACTGAAACAGAGGACCCATATACCCAGCTAGCACACCTACATCGGGCCGACGTTGGCTTTGCATCGGCAACCGCCGGCAATATCGGCATCGGCAAACTGCACTGCCGAGTTCGGTTTTCGATCACCAAAAAGTTGAAATAAAAAAAATAAAATTGATGTTTTGTAGTATGGTAGTCTTATCTAGTTAAGTAATTTAGCCTATGATGTACATTTGTGATGAAATACTGAATTAATTTTTTTTTTAATGTACTATTTCAAAGGTATGATGCTAAATATATAATCCAAGACAATTTAGAATGTCATTTATTTAATCAAAATTCAAATTAATGGTAAAACTTTGATGAAGATACTTCAGTACAGATTTTTCAGGACATTATCCATTGTAGAAAAACACCCAGAGCCTTGTTTCAAATTTGATTTATTCTAACTAAAGATATATTATTTCAGTTTATCATTATCCCTTTTCCTATGTTTACAAGCAATGAAACTGTGCATAAAATTACTTGTCCCCAATACTTTCCTGCTATTTTTTGCATACAAGTGTTTGTAATATGTACATACCTTTGTATCTGATCTTTCAATGATAAACGTTTATAATTATATGCAGTTTTGGTTTACCATGATGTAATCTACATATATTTTGGTATCATATAATAAATGAAATCTGTTTTGTGGTAACCTGACTTCACAGGATCTGTTCAATATTATGTCAATATGGGGATTTTCTCACTGCTTTTCAGGGATGGGGCTATGGCTATTAAAGTGAAACTACTTTCCCTGGGAAATTATTTCTGCTACATGGCTCCAGATAAGGACTGTATGTACAAGTGCTACACTGTATGTACAAGTGCAAATATACGAGATAAGATGTATGAATTAAGGAAAGGACCTGATGTCTGTGTATGGCCAAAGCTTTATTTAAATGTTACTTTTATGTTTTGAGCAATATTCCCCTCAACCTCTTGACATCATCACCATAATAGCTAAGTGCTCACTGCTGCTACACAAACTTGATATATAATATTCTTATATTTCTATTTAAGAAAAACAGATGTTCAGCCATTGCCTATTGGCAAACATGGATGAGCTGAATGAACTCTTAGCAGCTTTTCCAAAATCGAGCAACTGAGAGAGCACTGGTGAGTGGATTAAATTTCTTTAGATGTATCAAGTATGGGATATTTACTCCAATTTTGATTCATATAGAAGATCCAGGGCAGAAGATATCTTCAGCAACCCATGCTTGCCGTAAGAGGCAACTATATGCTTGTCGTATGAGGCGACTAATGGGATCGGGAGGTGAGGCTCTCTGACTTGGTTGATGCATGTCATCGATCCCAATTGCATGGATTGATGATCATGATGTTAATCACTGGATTGTCTTGTCCAGACTCGATTATTTACAGACCGCCGTCATATAGCTGGAATGTTGCTGAGTGAGGGGTTAAACAACAAACCAAACCAACTGATACATGTTTCTGCTTGAAATATTTATAAGCATATATTTAATATCATGTTTGCCCTATTAAGGGCACCTGACACTATACTATGGTAATCTTCCAAATGAAATTTCATGCTGACTTACTTTTGATGGACATACAAGAGAGATTGCACACCTAAAACGGTTCTCCAGCAAGATTGGAGGAGGGGGGTTATGTGGTTATTGGGGATGTTTATTGGGCTAAATTAATAGGGTGATATGTCAGTTCTAAAATCCTTTTTTAATTGACATAAGAAACAGATTAGGGACCTACCATACAATATTGGGAGTTGTTATGATATTTGCGTATATAATTACACATAATTCAATTTACTTATTTACACATATTATTAACTCATCAATTTACTTACTGGAATTCCGATAATTCTAGGGTGGGGCCTTCTGCTTTTAGCCCCTAAATTTCGAAAAAGGCCCACATTTTCAAATACAATGGGGCATTTTAACATTGTGCTGTATGGGCAAGTGCGGGTGTACCTAGGGAATATATGAAATTGTCACATAAAGGGCCCATGGCAGAATATTCCTTGAGTGAACCCAGGGACTGCAACGAATACACTATGAGGCGAATACGATTCATATCACGAATATAGGGTAACGAATACGAATATTAATGAACAATTACAAAAACAAGTCAGCAGTTTATGTATTATTTATTATATTCAGTGAAACAATAATAACATAATTTATTTGACATGGTTTGTTAATTATTAATAAATTATACATTTATATACTGCACCTATCCAGGTACTAGTATCTGCTCAAATGCGACAATGACCAGTGAAAACAATACTATCAAATTAAATATTATTAGAGTGTTGTCATTGAAAGAATCTGTGAATATAATATGTTGTTTTAGATATTTTTAGGAACAGGGTATGTAAATATATATGATAGCATATTCATAAATATTCGATTCTAGTGGCCATGAATAACGAATTCAATTCATGAATGGTTACGGATCGATTCACCGAATACGCGAGTGAATCGTAACAGCCCTAGTGAACCTTGTATTTATTAACAGGTGTCAAGACTTAAAATAATATATACACACATATGTAAGGTGATGCATGTGAACAGGGTATTACGTATTCTATTATTCCATTATGTTATCAATAACTTGTTTTGACACAATTGCTAAGTCCATTACTTGTAATTTTGAGAGTGCATGCAATGACTTATAATATGCACACTGACATTTCTTGCTATCATTTGTAAACAGAAGCTGAGGAGGAAGCCTGCAGTTGGGCTCTTACAAGCCACTGACAAGTACATGGTGACCTGTGTAAAAGAATGGCTTCGAGTTCCAGGAGCAAGGCTTAGAAATGGCATAAGGAAACGCGTACTGAAAAACAGAGGTGTAGATAGAGAATCTGCAAACAAAAGTGCTGAATTGCAACAGAACAAAGAAATCCAAAAAGTTGGCGTTGACAACATATTTTTCACAGGGTTATGACCCTTGTTTTTGAACTTGGTACATATTCTGCCAGGTTCTCTTGGACACTACTGAAGTTAATAAATGAAACTGTCTGTGCTTATCTAAGGTACAAACTCCATAAGATGGTTATAAGAACTTATTTTGTATGGCGTTATGGCCTTTGCTTCATGCTTTTTTAACTTGATGAAATATAGGGGGAAACAGTTTGTCTCACAAACGAATTTGAAGCCACATAAATGAAATTTTGCAGGCCAATATTAGGGGTATATGTTTAGACTGTGTTTTAAAACTGGTTTTGAGAATATATGTTTCACGTCCGCCTTGTTGCAGGTAGTAACACTGTTTTCTTGTTAATAATAATTAATTAATAATAAAGTTTATTATTCTATTTTGCTCTTTGTGTTTATTTATAAGTATTAACTACACATGTATTAGGGTACATAAACAATAGTATTGTAACTAGTGTAAGCATTTCGATTGTTTTGTACAGCTAGAAGTATTTATAGTACTTACATTTGGTTTTCAAAGTATCAACTTATGATAAAAAATTATTATCTTTTTAAAAATTCAGTATTTTTTAGTTTTACCTTTTATCTTTGTCACTTTAACATCACGGCTAGCTGGAGCCTTAAGAAATGTTTAGTTTTATGTACCCTAACACTACACTTGGAAAAGTTCTATTGTGGCATCATTTACATGAAATATTAAGATGAGATGTTGTCAGTTATGACATCTGATGACATCAGCCTATTTAAGATAATGGCAGATGGCAGATGCTGCGCTGATAATTATTGTCGACGTTGGGCCGATGTCCATCCGATGCTGATTCCATAACAGTTGCCCATTTCTGGCCGAAGGCTGGCCAGATAACTATTTACGACGTTGGGCCGATGTCAATCCGATGAGCAAAACTTCATCGGCCGACAATGTTTGCTGACGCTGGGCCAATGCTGGGCCAGTGCATTGCCGATGCAGGGCCGATGATGTTTGCCGACGTTGGGCCGATGTAGATCCGATGAGCAAAACTTCATCGGCCCGATGCAGTTTGCCGACGTTGGGCCGATGGTGTAGCCGACGTTGGGCCGATGCAGGGCCGATGATGGCATATGCTACCTGGGTATATAAATAGACAAGGAAGCAGGATAGTGATATAACTGTAACAGTGGACCCATATATATAAATAGACAATAGACAATATATATATGGGTCCACTGTTTCAGTTATATCACTATCCTGCTTCAGGGGCCTGTGTCCTGATCAGCTGATCGTTGCAGTATGCAGCAAACTCCTGTTGATGGAGTAAGTTGTGTTACGTAATGTTTTAGTTTTACAGCCATTCCCGTCTGGAATTAACACAAATCATCTCATTTCGGTAATAAATAAACTTTATAATAACACAGGAAAACAAATTATAAATCATATAAACTCTTTGAAATTGTGTGTGTGTGTGTGTGTGTGTGTGTGTGTGTGTTTGTGCGTGTACCTAATCTTTAAATAATCATGTACAATCATTTTGATTCAGACTGTTGAAGCAAAAAGCCGCAAAAATACATCATTGCAACATGTTTATTTTTTTATTTAGGCTTTATATATTTTTTATTTAAAAGGATATCTGGTTTTGCTGGTTTGTAGCTGACAAAATATCCAGTCACTATCCAAAATCATCGCCCACCCACCACCCAAAATATTCAAATTTCATGTTCAATGCAATTTACACACATAAACAATTTATGGGATTGCCTAAAAGTCGGGCCGGGCCGGGCCGGGCCGGGCCAAGACGGGCCAAAGTTGTATCGGCTAATTACTCCATTATCGGCGACCATACCTACATATCATTGATGCAACACACACACATGACATTAATGAACAATCATCAACCATGAACGTGCACCATAAATAAGTGATTCGGAGTAAATCGCTTAAAAACCAGAAAGTGGAGCTGTGTGTAAGCGTCGCTGATCTCGGTAACATGTAAAAGGGCAATCGTTAAACGAAATAGGATTTGAAACGTATCAAATACTTCTAGCTATCGTGATACAAATTTCCATCTGTCGGCATAGCGTTTACATTTATAGGACAGTACTATATCTAAGTAAATACCACTTAATAATGTCACTGTTCATCGTATTTAAAGCAGACACGTTGGTTAAAGTAGACCTCTTCTCCTATACTCTCAACAGTCTCACAAGTGTTCGTTCCGACTTGACCTGGGCTGTCAAAATCAACTTTAAACACACAGATGTATCATCAAGTGTGTTTACATCTGTAGATTAGTATTAACTCTACCTATATACCACTTTCTAATGTCACAGTACATCGCATTGAAAGAAAACTGATCCGTTAAAGTCAAACACTTTTACTGTATTTTCTTAAAGAAAACTTTGTCAGAAGTGTTCGTTCCGACTTGGCCCGGGCTGTCAAAATCAACTTTAAACACACAGATGTATCATCAAAAGTGTTTACATCTATAGACTTGTATTATATCTACCTATATACCACTTTATAATGTCACAGTACATCGCATTGAAAGAAAACTGATCCTTTAAAGTCAAACACTTTTACTGTATTTTCTTAAGAAAATCTTTGTCAGAAGTGTTCGTTCCGACTTGACCTGGGCTGTCAAAATCAACTTTAAACACACAGATGTATCATCAAGTGTGTTTACATCTGTAGATTAGTATTAACTCTACCTATATACCACTTTCTAATGTCTCAGGTCGCGGTATTTAAAGGAAACAAGGTGCTCGAAGTGAAGCCCTTTCCCCTCTCCATTCTCAACATAGTCTCTATCAGAAGTGTTTGGCTTGTGTTGTGTCCGACTTGGCCCGGGCTGTCAAACTCAACTTTAAACATACAGATGTATCAACAAAAGTATTTACATCTATAGACTAGTATTATATCTACCTATATACCACTTTATAATGGCACAGTACATCGCATTGAAAGAAAACTGATCCTTTAAAGTCAAACACTTTTACTGTATTTTCTTAAGACAATCTTTGTCAGAAGTGTTCGTTCCGACTTAGCCTGGGCTGTCAAAATCAACTAAACCTCACAGATGTAACATCAAATGGTTTCACATCTATCAACTTGTATAATATCTACCTATATATCACTTTGTAGTGTCACAGATCGCGGTATTAAAAGGAAACAAGGTGCTCAAAGTGAAGCCCTTTTCCCTCTCCAATCTCAACATAGTCTCTATCAGAAGTGTTTGGCTTGTCAGCACTATACCCGTGCTCATGGATCCCATCAAAGTGGTGAACGTCTAATACCTGCATCACTTCGGGCTTTCCTTCCACATCAAGCTGACACGCCGTGATATAACTGGAAATATACTATTCAAAGCGGCGTTAAACCCATGTCACTCACTCACTACTCTTGTGTACGGTTCCGTTTGGTTAACTGGATTTGTGTTGTGATTACTTCCGGCTTAAATTTGAAGTATGTTTAGAAGAATGTTACTATGTTCAAGCCAAACATCGTGAATATATCATGCAACCGAATTATTTTTCAGGAGAATAATTGCAAACTAAGGGCCAACATTTTGATTGCCCATGTATCCAGAAGCAAATAACTTCTACGGGTGTATAATCTTTGTAGGAAGTTAAAACATCTGTCAATACAATAAGCCATGCAGGGCCCCGTTCCACAAAGCGATCGTAGCGCTAAGACGATCGTAACTCCCATACCTTAACATAGACTTACAACTGTCGTAGCGCAACGATAGCTTTGTGGAACGAGTCCCAGAACCATAAACCGCCGTATGAAAACGGTATGAATCATATTTTACATACAGTGAACGACTTGAAACTGTGCTCAAATCTGCACAGCAAGCACCATACATGTGATTGTGAAGACAACTTATTACAAATATCTGATGTCAAACCCGTTGTTTTACATGTGTTGTTTATTGAACAAAGTCATGCTTCATAAAGCCTGGGATTTAATCGTGTTGAACAATAAGTTGCAATAGCAGTGTGAAGGGAGAACGAGTGAGTGCGCGTTACATGCTTGACCTTAGTTCATCCCTGGAACCATTTTCGCTGGCTGCCTGAATAACATACGATACATTGCAAAGGTAGTGCGCAAAAGAGCTATTCGGGTAAGGGAGATAATCACTCATTCTCAGTGATACAGCTTGAATAAGATACGATGAACAGCATTGCAAGGTCGCGCGTGATAAAGCTCTATACTACGCATTCAGCTAAAGGAGATTATCGCTCAATGCGCAATAGGTAGATTTGTTAGTAATTTTATTGAATCTAATAAAGTCGATATATTTAATATCATAGATACAAATATGAAATTTTGGAGACCGATAGTCACATGTTGTTGTACAAAGGCATTGAACTGTCCACTGTCATATCACATAAGGCTACAAGGGTGCGCTGAACTCAGTATCTCGTGTAACCGCCCTTGGCAAGCAATCACGGCTCAATCACCAGCTGTCAATATACGAAACAGAATAATACAAATTAAAGATACATATATCTAGATATTGTACATATCTTTAAGTTTCTTAGAAATACTTAATCGTTACATGGAAACTGCCATCTTGATGTATTATAATGTATTGTATATTGACAGATTGTGATTAATTGTTACCAGATGGCTCCAGCTGGGGTAGCAGACGACACTTTCCAACAATGGGGAACAGGGTAAAAATATGAGTAGGCTGGTTATCATCGACCAGACGACTCACCAGTCTAAGATGTATTGAAAAAACACACACTTAATTCTCAACCTTATCTAATGTTAATTCAACAATGTATCCTATACTTAGCAGTGGGATATTCTGCTTATAATCTCTCATAATTCTATTGAATATTTCTGTACATTCTATCAATGTTTATTTGTGCAAAGCTGTTTTATGTATGTACAGAAGTGAGACATTAATAAATTATTGTCTGTCTGTCTGCAATGTATACCGTACAATTAAACCGATTACACACAGGAGCTTCACTTTGAGCTCCTTGCTTTCTTTAAATACCGCGATCTGAGACACTATAAAGTGGTATTTAGGTAAACATAAACTTGTCTATAGATGTAAACACTTCATAGCTTCATACCACTTCATAGTGTCTCAGATATTTACAGAAAACAAGGTGCTCAAAGTGAAGCCCTTTTCCCTCTACATTCTCAACATAGTCTCTATCAGAAGTATTTGGCTTGTGTTGGGTCCGACTTGGCCCGGGCTGTCAAAATCAACTTTAAACAGACAGATGCATAATCAAATGTGTTTACATCCATAGATTAGTGTTATATGTACCTACAGTAAACTACGGTTATAACGAACTCAAAGGGACTACTAATTTTAGTTCGTTATAACCGTAATTCGTTATAAGCATATATACAGTATAGCTACAGCAAATATTCGGG